GCTGACGTCATCTCCGCCCTCAGGCCACGCCCACCCCGGGATGGCGGGGTCTCCGACGATGCGCGGGGCGTTCACTATGTCGTCCGCGCCCGGCGCGCACCATCCTGCACACATGCCGCACGGCGCGGGACCACCCATGAGCGCGGAGCAGCATCGGTTACAATACGTGCAGGAGTTTCAGCGGATGTATGGGGCGGGTCCTTATATGGAGGGGTGTGTCTACTGACGTTGATTGACGTGTGTTACAATGCACTGATGGCAGCCAGTCGGTCTGTCTACCTTCAGAATCACAGGCGTGATGGCAGGAGATGCAGGGAGTTAATTTGGATGGCGCCATGAAGTCTGCAGGAAGGCTGTCACATGAGTCAAAGGTCGTGGCATAGTGTGATCTACACATGAGTCAAAGGTCGTGGCATAGTGTGATCTACACATGAGTCAAAGGTCGTGGCATAGTGTGATCTACACATGGGTCAAAGGTCGTGATATAGTGTGATCTATCTACACACGAGTCAGATGTCATGATATAGTGTGATCTACACATGAGTCAGACGTCATGGTTTAGTGTGATCTAAGTACACATGAGCCAGATGTCATGATATATATAGTGTGATCTACACATGAGTCAGACGTCATGGTTTAGTGTGATCTAAGTACACATGAGCCAGATGTCATGATATATATAGTGTGATCTACACATGAGTCAGACGTCATGGTTTAGTGTGATCTATCTATGGTTTAGTGTGGTCTAAGTACACATGAGTCAGACGTCATGATTTAGTGTGATCAATCTACACATGAGTCAGACGTCATGATATAGTGTGATCTACACATGCGTCAGACGTCATGATATAGTGTGATCTACACATGAGTCAAACGTCATGATATAGTGTGATCTACCCATGAGTCAAAAGTCGTGGCATAGTGTGATCTATCTACACATGAGTCAGACGTCATGATATAGTGTGATCTATGTACACATGGGTCAAACGTCATGATATAGTGTGATCTACACATGAGTCAAACGTCGTGATCTACGTACGCTGGTCGTGTCTTGCTGGGGGGGCCTAGTTGGGTTGGCCTCGACACTAGTAAAACGTCACCACAGGGTACTGGGTGGTCCCATTCACTTCTAGCCTGTCTGCGGTGTACTGTGGCTCAGGCAGAAGATATTCTGAGACGTTTCCGGCGAGCACCCAGGAACTATTCGGAGACGTACTCCCACTTACAGATACACTGCTTTGGGGGGGGGGGGTGGATGGGTCAAACTGCGTATTATGTCCTGCAGATCACTCGTATAGCCACTGAAACCGTCGCAAATCAAATATTTTCGAGCAAATTTCGCACTTAACTGCAAAATGTGCCAGGATCTGGACAATAAACATGTATCTTAAAATATCAATTTATGGATTAAAACGGTACTCGGTCTAGAGGCACAAAGCATTTTGACTGGTCTGTCTCCGTTGGAGACGTCTCCGGATAGATACTGCGGTGACTCACACACAAGAGAAAAAAAAGACCCATCAACATTACGTCAGTGTGGTCGTCCGTCACCTGGGCGAGATATCATCGGTTCGACTTAGCGCAGTTCCAACAACAGTCAAACGTCATCAGTCATCAGCCAATCGCTACCTCAGAATTACAAAGTTTTATCTGACACTTTAGGCCATTTTGAGTTACGAATAGGCTACCATGACGTCAGAAACTTTTTCAGTTACTAAAGCCATGAGGTTTTCAGAAAACAAATGTTCTATCCGTTCTATCACAATCGTAGAATTATTCTGAGTCCTTATCAAGATCATATTCAAAGAGTTGCTATTATAGCTGGGCGCAGGGTCGATTCCGGAACCGAATCCCACGATTAACGCTACAGAAGAAAAGTTCCGACTCCTTTTTACGTAAACCAACGGTTACATGTTACTTTAATCATTAAAATCTTCTTTTTCTTTAAAGTTGATGCTTCGTAGTGTTCCGAAATCAAGGTTATCCTAAACCCTGAAGATGTTCGGAGCCAACCAGGTAACCACCAGAAGAAATCACATCATTAGAAAGTAAGTAATTGGGTTCGGAGTCGATTCCTACGATTCCTAGCTTTCAATAATCGGGAACCTAGCCGCCCAGCTCTAGTGCTAGTTGCTATCGAAAAAGCTTGACAGGTTGTGAAATTCAAACTTTTTGACGTCAAATTTCTCAAAACTAGGAGCTGAGCTGATAGAACTTTGTACTTCTGAGGCACCACAATGTTGACGTGAGTCTTTCTTTTCAACTCAAACTAGGCTGGATCGATAATAATAATATGTATTTCGGTTAATGCCCATGTTCCGTAAAAAATTATGTTTTATTTTGTACCATCTCCTGTCAACTTGGATGGATCTCAGCACTTTTAGGGTGATTGACGTCACAAATGGAACAATTAATGGGGTTAGAGCGAAACGATGTCTACGCTAACTGGGTCAATAAGAATACTTTAAGGTATTGATTTTAAAAAAAAGGGG